AGGTCAAAGTGGCTTAGTAACCACATTAAAACCTATTGTCGAACATTGGTCTTACCCTCAGTTCGCAAAGGCAGTCCTTGACAACTACAACAAATTCTTCTCCGAAGTCAAATCCAAAGTTGTGGTTTACTATGAGAACATTGACGCACTCATGACGAACGAAGAAGGATACAACAAACTCATTGAAATGGGAATGGTCGGTGAAAAGATGGGCTGTTTTAAGCTAGATAAGGTATTTTCAGAAGTTCATGTCCTCTCCAAGCGTAAGTACTGGGGCATACTTGAAGACGGCACAGAAATAAAACATTGCATGAAGTAAAAAAATTGCATGAAGTAAAAACGTTTTTTAAACCATATATTTTTACATATATTAAATGCTTCAGGTTGAAAAACAAAGAACAAAAGTAGCAGATACAAAACCGTTAGACTATATCTTTACAAATGCTGGTAGGACTATTTCAGATGAAGAAATTTCATCCCGAGCATACAGGTTTGACTATCCAGTTCGTTGGCTTCAAAGTCCTTCAGATGCAAAGGCAATAGGATTTAGAAGAGTTTTGTTTTCAAATAGAACTAACGCGTTTATGTTCGCAGTATATTTTCATGGGCAGTATAAAGGTTCTGATGGTCTAATAGACAAATTTGACGAAATGAGAATCTTTACAGTTCGTTCAGACGAAAGTCTTGAGAAAACTCTAAATGACTTTCAAACTCAAATGAACAAATATTATTGGGAATTTCAAGAAAAATACGACTCTTTACTAAATGGAACATACTATCTGAAACTAGAATATGACAAGATGAACTCCACCGTTTCATTTCAAAAGATTGAAATTAACCCTCCAAGAGATACAGAGTTTTTATTTTGGGAGTAGACAAACGTTCTTGGGCACAATTTCTTCGGTTACTAAACCAGAACGAACCATTACCACCAGATGGTCCATTTAAATTTATACTTCCACCAGCAGATTTGACAGTTTATAGAAACGTGTTCGACCCTCAAAATGTTATGTGCCATGCAAGTTTCAGTTCAAGCAACAATAGTTTTCTATGTATCGGTAAGGACTTTTATGACTTTGCTTCTAAATTCTACGAACCACCTAGTAACAGTTTCTCTGACTTTCAAGTTTGGTTCACAACAAATGGTGTGCAGCATATAATACCATTGTACTATGACTTTTATCTCGAATTGTCTTTCATATACAACTACGGAAAAGTGCTGAAAAAGTGAGTTTATGTTAGCATGTTAGATCTAACACGTTTTTTCACCTAATTTTTCACCCGTTGAATTTTCATGAAATTCCTTAAGATAGAAAAAAATATATTTTAGGGTAGATGGTTAGATCTAACACGTTTTCTAACATTTTTTCTAACATCGTAGACAACACACAAAACTCATGAATGGCTCGATGTTGTCCATTGTACTGTTTCAGAACAATATTTGCACTGTTTCAGAACAATATTTGTACTGTTTCAGAACAATATTTGCACTGTTTCAAGACAATATTTGTACTGTTTCAAGACAATGTCCGACGTACCACCAAAAAATATATTTTATGTTAGCATGTTAGATCTAACACGTTTTCTAACATTTTTTCTAACATCGTAGAAAACTCATGAAAACAATTTATTTTTGACCTAAAGACGCAAAGCGGTGGGACATAGCCCAAAAAATATATTTTATGTTAGCATGTTAGATCTAACACGTTTTCTAACATTTTTTCTAACATCGTAGAAAACTCATGAAATTCCTTAAGATAGAAAAAAAGTGAGTTAAAATGAGATGTTTACTGAAGGTGCTACCATGTTACCATGTGCTACCAGGTAATTTAACTTCTCTGAAAAAATGAGACAACATGACATTTTGACAACAGTCGGGAAAATGTCAAGACTTCTTCATCGTAACGAGTGTAAATGAACCAAAAATATATTTTAGGGTAGCATGTTAGATCTAACACGTTTTCTAACATTTTTTTCACCCTCTTGAATTTTGTATAAAAACCAACCGCCGGTTTTCTTCCGGTTGCTATATTCTTCACAAAATGCTTGTTTTGAGGTCGAGCCACTTTTGGCTCCACCGTATTTTTCAACCAAAACTCATGAATTTTCCCGAAATAGAAAAAATATATTTTAGTATTTTTAAAAAAATATTTTTTATTTTTATTGTAAGAACATGTTAGCAACAACTTCACCAAACTCTTTAGTCATGAACCCAACTTCAATGTTAGTAGAGATGAAAAGCTTCATTCCTTCTTCATATACTTTCGAAACAGAAATCCAGAAGATAAAGCAAGAACTTCTCCAAGGAGATTTAGACTGTAGTGCGAAAGATGAAACAAATGAACAATATCTTTATGAAATGCAGGATATTATTGACCATCTACCTAAACTTCCTGAAATACAACAACAAAAGCTTACTATTCCAGAATTTGAAGAAATAGAAGTCAGACCAACCGACTCAGTAGAAATAAAGAAGTTCATACGTAAGGTTAACTATGAGTTTCTTGGATTTCATTGCAACCACAAAGTCATGGACAAAGACTGCGATATGGTATATAAGAACATCTCTGACATATATAAATCTGAAGAATTTAAGACCTACGACAACTTTGTTTCGTTAGTTGCAAAATGTGTATGGCAGATAAGAGATAAAGATAGAAGAGGTAAAGTATGGAACGGACAAATAAAACCCGCAACTTTTGAGTTAAAGAAAACCATTGACGCCTTAGTTGTTCTAGCAGGTCAAATTTCAATGTACAATGCTAAAATGAACCCACAATGTTCAAAATGTAAAGCAGCAATGAGGAAATATAACTACTCCGTCAAAGAGATAGAACGTATGCGAAACGACTATGCTGACTTAAAGAAAGAAGCAGAGAAACCAGCAGAAAACAAAATGGACATGTTAGCATTTCTGAACAAAAACTATCCAACTGCTGACGATTTCCTTCTATCTGACGTCAAGAAGAAATATAAAGATACATTCAATATTGTGAAAACTTTTGATATCCTTCGTGAAGAAATAGAAGCTACAAAACTGTTTAAAGTCATGAACCATCGCAACATATACCATGTAAAACGCTTGTAAATAGTTATGTTAGAAAACGTGTTAGAAAACGTGTTAGATCTAACATGCTAACATAAAATATATTTTTATTGAATTCAGCAACAAAACTGTTTAAAGTCATGAACCATCGCAACATATACCATGTAAAACGCTTGTAAATAGTTATGTTAGAAAAGTGGTTAGAAAACGTGTTAGATCTAACATGCTAACATAAAATATATTTTTGCTGAAAAAAATGACCAAATTTCATGAATTTCCTCATATGTTTGCTACCCGAGGAAAACCGAGGATAGAGATTCCGTACGAAAATCGTAAAAAATTGCGAGTACGTACAAAAACGTAGTCGCCTAAAACTCATGAAAATCGTAAAAAAATGACCAAATTTCATTATATAACTGTTATTTTTTTACGAAGAGAACTTTGACACTTCGTCAAAAAAATCCCTGAAATCGTAAAAAAATGACCAAATTTCATGAATTTCCTCATATGTTTGCTACCCGAGGAAAACCGAGGATAGAGATTCCGTACGAAAATCGTAAAAAATTGCGAGTAGTAAAAAAAACCCAGTCGCCTAAAACTCATGAAAATCGTGAAGAACAGCGACCCAGACTTTTTTCGGGGTCGCCTAAAACTCATGAAAATCGTGAAAAACAGCGAGTAGGGACAAAACCCCAGTCGCCTAAAACTCATGAAAATCGTGAAAAAATGACCAAATTTCATTATATAACTGTTATTTTTTTACGAAGAGAACTTTTGCACTTCGTAAAAAAAATCCCTGAAATCATATCTTTTATACAAAATAAAAAAATAACGTTAGTTTTTTTAAAAAATATTTTTTATTTTGTATGTAAGAAACAGAAAATGACAAACATTGAGTTTGAAACAGTTAGAAAGATAGACAATGACACCAAAATGGTTAGAATAGGTGATTTAAACGTAAGATACTCAAAGAAATACAACAAATATTCTTTGTCAGACATTTTATCTCCATCTGGAAAGAAAACATACCATTGGGTTGGAATTGCTTCAACTCAGAAAATTTTGACAAGAAATCCTGAGCTTATGATATCGGTAAGATTCTGTGGAACAAGAGCATATCTTATAGACAAAAGTCTTATACCAATAGTTTTGTTATGGTTAGACCCAGTTGTTGGATATAACTTCATAACATATGGTTCATTCGATACGGAACGTTGCAGTGAAGGCTTACTTTACATCGTTCAGAAACCGAAGGACTTCAATACAAAGAGATATAAGATAGGAAGAACATATAATATAACTCAAAGATATGACAGTACAGTCAATAGAGTCAAGGTTGTGTTCGTTAACGATATGAGAGCTGCAGAAACAGAACTGCTTGAAGTTTTTGAGAAAATGTATGGTGCTCCCACGAAAGGTAAAGAAACGTTTGAAGTAGATGAGATAGGTAAAGCTATAAAATTATTTGACGAAGTTGCTGAAAAATACATGTAAAGCGTTTATTTTTGGTCTTTTGTGAAAGTCAGAAAATAACGCTAATTTTTTATAAAATATTTTTTTTATTTTGTATGTAAAGACAGATATGTCAACAACCGAGAACACAACAACTGCTATCGTTCATGAAGCCATAAATGAAGAATATGAGTACATACAATATAACAAACAGTTACGTCTCATTCGTTCGGTCAAAGACGATATGTACCAAATGCAAAGTATTTTGAATGCTCTTCGTTCTACAAAGCAAGCACATCATTGGTTTGAAAACCAACAGACAAAAGAACTTTTAGAAGAATTTCCTCATATGTTTGCGACCCGAGGAAAAACGCGGGTCGAGATTCCGTACGAAAATCGTAAAAATTTGCTAAATGGTTTGAGAGGCTGGTATGTACATAGACTTCTTGTAAATGCTGTTGCAATGTGGACTTCACCTCGTTACGCTTGTTATATTTTCATGATGTTAGATGAAATTCATAGACAAGAACGTGAAGAGCTAGAGAACAAGCTTGAAGCAAAAGACAAAAGCCTTCAGAAAAGAATACCACGTTCGGTACCAAAAGGAAAGGAAAAGAACTATAAGTATATGATTTATACTGAAGAGATGGAAAATGAAGAAGACAGAGATATGGTTATGTTGCATTTAGTCAGAAGAAACAACAAAAGCTTTTACGACCTTGCTAAGATTTACAAATCTGACAGAAATTGGTTCTATCGCGAAAACTTACCGATTTCAATGACACCAAATGAAGATGTGAAACAAATAGTTCAAGATACTTTACCTCAAACACACTATGATATTAAAGGTTGTACAATACTTACCTTCAAAGAAGATTTGCCGCTACTGAAGGAAAAAATAACAGAGTATTTTGACAACTTCAAACAAGCAGAGTAAATGAACCATTTATTTTTCAAGCTTGACTTCAGATGGCTCAGGTAGCTCTATAAGGTAAATTGCCTTGTCAAATCCTTCTGGCATTCCAAGTTCTTCCTTCCGACAGGAAAAAATTTTCCTTCCAACAGGAAAAAATTTTCCTTCCAACAGGAAAAAATTTTCCTTCCAACAGGAAAAATTTTTCCAGTTGTCCGTCCGTAAACCATTCAAATTTTCGAAAATTGAGAACTTTTTGGTCGAACTTCAGAAAAAGTTTTTCCTTCCGACAGGAAAAGTTTTTCCTTCCGACAGGAAAAGTTTTTCCTTCCAACTGGAAAAGTTTTTCCTTCTGGCATTCCGAGTCCTTCCTTCCGACAGGACACAAACGAATGTCCGACGTACCACCAACCGAGTCCATTCCAAAGCCAGAAGAACCGAAAGCTGCAGAACCACAACAGACTAAGACCAAACACTTACATTTTTTACGCTTGACTTTTTACAATTTGAACTTTGTTTGCGTAGATGTGAATTCTGAAAGAAGTATGAGGGTCTTGTATGACTTTGTACTTCTCCCATAGTTCATGTCTGTCAAACTTACCTGCCATGGACTCTTTCATAAGTTCCATGAAATCGTCTTCGGACAATCCGGGGAAAGTACAATGTCAGTAAGTATTCTCTTTACATCCTTACTTAAACTCTTTGCTGTCTGTACACAAATGACAACAGAGATGTTGAAGTGTCTGAGCTTCTTAAGAATTCGACACATGTCTTGTTCTCTATTCTTTAACAAAGGATGAGAAGCAAAGTCATCTAAGATAAGAAGACATCTGTGAGGGTAAGTCTTCCAATCGTAAGATTGCAATTTCTTCGAAATGTATTCTATCTCTTTCTGTTTGTTTCTGAAGTGTTTCTTCTCTAATATTCTCTGCATTTCCTCATTTGGGTCTTTAAACTTAGAATTGACATACTCATTTATAGCATTGTACTTCAAAACTCTTCTTTGGTACTTCTTTATCCAATCTAACAACTCAGAGTCTTTTATACATACTAACTTAGACTTCTTTATAATATCTTTGAACGAATTGACGGTTTGGTCAAATGACCAGAAGTACTACAAATGACAACTAACTCATAGAATGGGTTCTTCTCATCTAGTTCTTGTTGTTGTGCAGCCATTTTTAAGATAAGTGAAAGTCTTACCCGACCCAGGCGGTGCAATTAGCCCTGTGTTATACATTCTGAGCAAATAAGAACTTGTCATGTATGGGTTTTATCTGAGCATTCTTAACTTCCTCTTGTTCTTGTTTAAAACATTCTCAAATTTCTTGTCAATGTCAGCAAACTTTTTTTCTAACATATTTTTAGAAAATTAAAAGTTTTATCTTTTAGAAAATGTCTAGCGATTTCGCTATCTATATTCGAGACAAACTTTTCGACAGCAAAACATCTGTCGACCATAAAATCTTACATAGTGTAAACAAGAAAGGTGAATTTGTTCTAAAGTTTCTGTTTCTGGGAATATGACAAGAACCATAAAACATTAAGCAGAAGCAGTCTTAAAATTTGTCAATGACAGACTTGTTGACAGAGATGACACCGATTGGAAAGATGAAGTCCAACAAAAGTTCTTAGAATGCAAAGAAGACACATGCACTGTTCTTGAAGATGAAATAGAAAACAGAATAGAAGAGCTATTAAAGGACAAAGAACTTTTACAAAAATATGGTTCTGAGAAATTTGACGTCTCACCACCAGAAAAGAAGAAGAGAGAAAAGAAAGAAAAGAAAGTAGAAGAAGAGAAGAAAGAACCTGAACCAGTTCCAGAGAAAAAGAAATTTGACATGTAAAAATAAAATTTTATTTTTAGAACATTTCTGGGTCAATGTCAATGTTCTCTTCCTCTTTAGGAGTAAACACTGGCTTAGACTCTAAAATCTTTTTGTAATAAACAGAAATTCATCAAAAGTGACAGCTCTCAATTTTTTGACATTTGTAAATTCTAAATTGAATGAGAAAAATGAAATAATACTAAGCATAATACAATATTCTAGATTTAATTATAATTAGGAAAAAGTTAGTTTTGAGAGTACTTTTCATAGGCATATAGAATGAAAATCTTCTGAAAAATAATATCACATAAACTCAATATTATTTTCTAATATATAACTATTTTATATAAAAATCAAATTCAATGATCTTAAAAGCGAAGGATAAACCTCAAAATTTACAATATAATGAGTGGGAATATAATGCTTATCTATCATAAACCATATGAATATCAATTTTTGCTTTACGCCTAATTTTTGACGACAATTAGCAAAAAATGTTAAATGTTAACACTCAGTCCATTTGAATATGAAAAATAAAATTGACTTTGATTAAATGTTTTTATTTATCATGCAATTCTTCTTGCGACCAAAGATTTGAATAAAAGTTCAAAAAATAAGATAGCTTAAAAAATAATATACGGTAGTGTTTACTAAAAAGTGAATAGTATATAAATTCTATAAAATGGATTTGATCCAAAAATATATAAAATTTGATCATAAATAAAATCGTTTTAAATTACTTCTTCATTTAAATGATAACAATTTTTTGGTTTTATATTTTTTTGATCAAATCCATTTTAATAGAAATATATACTATTCATCTATTAGTAAACACTACGTATATTATTTTTTAAGCTATCTTATTTTTTGAACTTTTATTCAAATCTTTGGTCGCAAGAAGAATTGCATGATAAAATAAACATTTAATCAAAGTCAATTTTATTTTTCATATTTAAATGGACTGAGTGTTAACATTTAACATTTTTTGCTAATTGTCGTCAAAAATTAGGCGTAAAGCAAAAATTGATATTTCATATGGTTTTATGATAGATAAGCATTATATTCCCACTCATTATATTCGTAAATTTTGAGGTTTATCCTTCGCTTTTAAGATCATTGAATTTGATTTTTATATAAAATAGTTAATATTAGAAAAATAATATGAGTTTATGTGATATTATTTTTCAGAAAGTTTTGTGTTCTTCTTCAAAATTTTATTTTTTATTAAAAAGAATCTTTACAAAATATACATTTACTTTAATTAATATTTAAAAACGTGCTCTATCAAAAGTTCCAAAAATTCAATATTTTAGCTTTTCTGAGGTGTCACTTTTGATGAATTTCTGTTTACAACATTTTTACCCAATTTACCTTGAACTTCTACAACTTTAGACTCATAATATTCATAGTCGTCTGCTTTCTTTGGTTCATAAGGTATAACAAGTTTGTATGATTTGCCTTCTTTAAGGTTTGAAAACCTTCTGTCAAAACTTTCTTTGACTGTTAACAAACCTTCTATGTCTAAGTCTTCAAATTTCGCACCATTTTTAGTCACAATAGCAAACTTAACTGGTTCGATGTTCCAAACTTTGCTAATGAAGACTTTTCAAAATGGTAGAAGTAAACATTCAAATATGTGAATGGGTCTAGTTCTTTTAAGTCCTGACATGTACTTGTTTACTGAGATGGAATTTTGTCATCTTTTCTATCGGATAAAAAAATATTTTTTTTAAAATTTACTCAGAAAAATTTTTCTTTGTATATACACCATTCTGTACGTCTAAAAGACTTTTGACATTTGCCAAGAATGTTTCGTTTAGACGCTGTCATATAACCATATTCTTGACAATATTGTTTATACGAATCGTACAATGACCTTTCATCTAAACACTCAAAGTCAGTTTCATCTATGAACAGTTCATATACACTCTTGTTTGCTTCTAACAATGTTTGTCTCTCTTCGGTATGTGGAATTTGTCTTGGATTGAACTTAGAAATATCTAATGTCATGAAATATGAGAACAAGTGGTTGAAAAGTCAGATGTCAAAGTTTCTGCTAAGTCGTCAAAATTCTGTATCTTGCATATGAGAATCTGACGTTCTGACAACTACATATCTTCTGTCAGAACTTTCTAACTTCATCGGAACAGCATTGTTTTGAAACCATAATGAAGTTTGCAACATTTTCACAAACTCTTTGGTCTTTATACTTTCTTTCAACAACTCCAACTTTGTCTGTTATAAGACTCTTCAAAGCATCTGAGTTCAAAACTTTTGTTGTATCTATACTTTGAAGTTCATTGCAAACTATAAGTTTCATATTCTCTATTGAGGAGTTAAACTTGCCACAGATGTTTTCTAAGTTTGTCATATTCGGGTTCGAATAACCTTCTAACAGTTTGCATAAGATATCTGTAAAGAATGTGTTCTTACCTGTTCCTTGTTTTCCAATTATAATGAGAGCAGTTTCATTTTTAGCACTTGGATGTTGTAAGATGTTTGCAAACCAACATAAGATATACTCATAAACCTTTTCGTTTCCATTGCATATAATTTCTTTGACATGGTCTAACCAAGCTTCTATAATATTTTATTTCCATTCTACATGTTCGTATTTATATCCAGTGAAGATAGAATAGAAGTTTGGAGAAGGTGTATAGAACTTTATACCTCGAACTGAAAAATCTTCTAACTTTGACAATAAGATATCCCAAGCATCTAACATCTTCATGCCAACTTGTACAACTTTTATTTTCTAAGTTTCTGTCTACATTCTTGTTCTGAAACTATTGTTGCTCTTGGTTTGTTAAAGACTACATCCCATTCTTTCATAACATAACATTTCTGGGGCAGAGTCGACATAAATGACTAAACGTTTCAAATTCTCGACTGCTTTGTTATAGTCTCGAAATGGACACATATTTCTGAATGTTTGGAAGTCATAAAAAATCTGAAACATCTATTCTGTACATTTTTATAAAAATAAAAAAAAATATTTTTTTTATTCTTGACTTTGTTGTTGCATTTGTTGCATTTGTTGTTCTTGAGCTATTTGTTTGTTGAAGTTGTTCTTGTAATACAATACTTTCACCAGTTGCATCTTCCAATTCGAAACTTTCTGCCGTCATTGACAAATACATAGGACATAAAAGTTTTACAGGAACAAAGTTTGCGTCAACTAAGGTTAAGTTT